GACTTTGCTGAGAGAAATGTTTCCCAAGTCTTGTGAATGGCAAGGGGCAGGTGTTATTGTTTGGGGTAGGTAGTGTTAATTGCTGGTCTTGGTTCTGATGAATGGTGTTTGTCTTTAAAGCATTTCCTGCCTTTGTTACAGTACTTTTTTTTTTAAGTTGCTGGAATAAGCACTGGGTTAGCCTGTTTATTTTTTTATTCTTTAGCTGAAAACTTAGCAGCTCGTGATTAGTTGGCTAATCTCTCTTTAAAGAAACAGCAAGCTCCCTATGAATATATACTTTTACAGCCATTTGATTTTTTTTTTAATTTAGGTTTATTTATTTACTATGTATACAGTGATCTGCCTGCATGCCAGGAGAGGGCACCAGATCTCATTACAGATGGTTGTGAGACACCATGTGGTTGCTGGGAATTGAACTCAGGACCTCTGCACCATCTCTCTAGCCTGTCATTTGATTTTTTTTTTTTTTTTTGGTGGTTGTTTGTTTTGTTTTGAGACAGAGCCCTACTGTATATTACTGAACTAGTTAGTAGACCAGGCTCTCCTGGAATTCACAGAGATCCGCACGCTCTGCCCCCTGAGTGCTGGGATTAAAGGTGTTTAACCACCATGCCTGGCTCCATTTGCTTTCAGCCATGAATGCAATAAAATGTTTATGTTACAGCTGTTTTTCATTAGCCCTTGTACATATGTTTGTATGTAGTAACTAAATGTATTCTCCAAATAAATAGAATCCTAAAATGTTAATGATTAAAGGATTTTTTTTTTAAAAGAAACCCAGACCAGGCCAGGCAGAGGTGGCACATGCCTTTAGTTCCAGCACTTGGGAGACAGAGACAGGCAGAGATCTCTGTGAGTTTGAGACCTGCCTGGTCTACAGAGCAAGTACTAGGACAGCTAAGGCTGTACAGAGAAATCCTATCTTGAAAAAAAACAAAACAAAAAAAGAAAGAAAAGAAACCCCAGCCAGAAGGTTGGGGACACCCCAGATTATAGTATAAATCATAACGCTTTGTTAGCAGGTAGCTGTGGGAAAATGCCACACAGGTCCCAGTTGGGGTGGCAGATGTTCAACAGTTGAGCAGTTTTGGTGAGGCTTATGTTGCCATCTGCAACAAAACAGTCTGGATTCCCAATTCTCACACCAACTCTCAGCCAGGTTATGTGTCTACATTTTATAGATTAGGACACTGAGAGAGTTTTAACATCGGTAAGGGTGGCAGAGCTGTGCTCTAGAGTAATGCTGCTTCTGGCTCTCACTTTTTGTGCTTTACAGTGTCACAGATAATCTATTATCACTTTAAAACTATTTGTGTGTTGGTGTGTGCCCACGTGCCATGACATCCTTGTGGAGGTCAGAGAACAGCCTCACATGTTACCCCTTGCCTTCTGCAAATAGGGTCTCTTGTTTGTCTCCATATAAGGCAGGCTAGCTAGCCTGAACTTCCAGGGATTCTCTTGTCTCTGTCTCCTGTCTTGATGGAGGAACCCTGAGATTACAGGCCAGTGCCACTGCTCAGCCTTATGTGAATTCTGGGGAACTGAAGTTGGGTATTCATGATTGGTTTATATCCATTTACCTATTGAACCATTTCCCTAGCCCATCAGGGATACTTCATACCTGGAGAGGTTTGGGACGGATTGAGACAGACCAAGAAATCCATTTAAGCACCAGGTAGAAAATCACAGGCAGCACACTCTAAATGGTGCATCTTTAGGTTTGTGAGGATCTATTGCAGGGCTGAAGAGAAGGCTTGGTGGTTAGGAGCACTTGCTGCTTTTGCAGAGGACCTGATTCAATTCCACAGCGTACTAACTGTGGTCCCTGGAGATTCATTGCCCTCTTTGGATCGCGTGCGCGCTCGAGCACACACACACACACACACACACACACACACACACACACACACACACACACACACACACACTCCCCCCCTCACACACACATACACTCTCCCTCCCTCTCTCTGTCACACACACACATTCACACTCTCCCTCTTTCCTTCTCTCTCATACACACAAACACTGATCTTTTTTCTTTTTTTTTTTGACAGGTTCTCACTGTACAGCCTTGGTTGGCCTGTAATTCTCTATGTAGACCAGGCTGGCCTTGAGCTCATAGAGCCAGCTTCTTCCTTTAGCTACAAAGTAATTTTTTTGAGACAGGGTTTCTCTGTGTAACCCTAGCTGTCCTGGAATTCACTCTGTTGACCAGGCTGATCTCAGACCGGTCTGCATCTGTTTCCCAAGTGCTGGGATTATAGGCATGTGCTGTCATGCTCAGCATTTGTTTTTAGAGACAGGTTTCTTCTTTGTGGTATAGGTGTTCTGGAACTCACTCTGTAGACCAGGCTGAACTTAAAGTTACAGAGTTTAAAAACTCTACTTGCCTCTACCTCAAGAATGCTGGAATTAAAGGCATGGACCATCATGCCCAGAAGACTAGAAATAAATCTTTGTTTTGGTTTTTTGTTTTTCGAGACATGGTTTCTCTGTGTAGCTTTGGAAACTGTTCTGGAACTTGCTTGTAGATCAGGCTGGCCTCGAACTAACAGAGGTCCACCTGCCTCTGCCTCCCAAGTGCTGGGATTAAAGGTGTGCACCACCACCACCACCACCACCACCACCCCCCCCCCACTCAGCTTTAGAACTAAATCTTTAAAAAAAGAACAAAACCAAAAAAACTATAAGGATAAGTCCAGGTAGCTTTCAATAAATTTGTTTACCTTTGGCGCAGAAGGACTCAAAGAAGCTTCTGATTGGATGGGTAGACAAATAGTTATGAGCCTGCAGAGATTAACAGGCTGCGGATGAAGCTCAGTGTAAATGAGCTCACATGCCAAAGCAATCACACTGCAGTGGGCATCTGGGAAAGAAGCAGAATCTACTCCTCGTCATCCTGCAGACAAGCAGTGGACAGGGAAAGAAAGACGGCAAAGATGAGAACCCAAGAGAAACTCCAGCCCAGAACAGGAAGTTTAGTGCGGCAGGGACCAAGCCAGGCCCTGGTTAGCCATTGGGTTTGATAGGAGGCCCCTGGGAATCTCTGTCTAGAGTTAGTATGATGGGGGGAAGTTAGTATAACAGTGAGTCAGTAGGTGGGTATTTGTTCATTTTAAAGGAGTGAGGTGATTTGATAGAGAAAGGCAGAGATGTAAGGATGAACAAGATGAGATGCCTGTGAGGTGGAGCACTGGGAGGCAGGGGCAGGCAGATCTCTGAGTTCAAGGCCAGCCTGGTCTACAAAGTGAGGACAGCCAGGACTACACAGAGAGACTCTGCTCCTCAACACCCCCTCCCCCCAAAAGAAAAGATCAAGGTGAAAGTACAATGTAAAGTTAAAAGAAAAAAGATGGTGACAGAGTTTTTAGTTACATTTACTGTCGTTATCACCTGAGTTGTCTGGTCTGTGCTTGGAGGGAGGCGTGTGGATTGAGAAGTTACAGGTAGAAATAACAGAGATACAAAAATAGACATAGGAGAGATTTGGGAGGACTGGTCAGTGAATACTGTAGCCTGGAGCTTATTTTTCATAGCCCTTTTATACCCCAAGCCAAAGAGGAGGGCAAACAAGTGTGACTACTCCTTAATATTCAAGACATCAATAGCTATGCCCTAAGTCAACACCCTGTTATTAGGGACCAAGGAACAAAACATCTAGTTGCTACACCTTAGGCTAGACCTTGAAGGAACAAAAACAAGCTTGAACTCTCTAACCCTAAGTCAAGATGGAATCAGGCCAAAGATGGAGTTCAGATGGGCTCCCACAATTTGCTTCATGATGTAAATGAATTTAGGTTTTGAGTCTTCATTTGACCTCTGCTTCTAATGACATCTTTCAGTCTGGCCCTGGACAAGTCACTGTTTTCTCAGTCTCGGATGTGTAATTACTACAATAAATATCTCATAGAAAAATTCTTGATTAAGAGATTGGCCAGCTGAACTGTTATGCAAATATTAGCTTGGAGTATGCAGATTGTTTGGTTAAACCCTGCCTTTCTCATAAAAAAACAAGCTGTGGGCCAAGTAAATGACTCAGTGGGTAAAGTACCCAAGTTTGGAGCCCCAGCATCCTGGTAAAAAGCCAGGCATGGTGGTGTATCCCTATGACCCCAGTGCCATCAAAGTGGTCTGACTTCAACATCAGCACCTTCTGCCATGTGGTAGTTTAAACCTAAAATACCTAGATCATATATTCTTTTTAGCTGTTAATTAAATTGGTAGACCTTACGAAGTTATTAAATATAATCATATTCTGTGCACTTACTTCCCTCTTTTTTTCCTCCCTCCCTCCGTCTCTCCCTCCCTCCTTCCCTTCCTTCCTTTCTCCCTTTAATTTATGTGTATGGGCATTTTGCCTGCATGTATGTCTATGTATCAGGGAGGCCAGAAGACAGTATTACTTTCCTGGGACTGAAGCTATGGGATGTTGTGTAATTCTGTGTGGGTGTAGAGAATTAATTGAAACCGGGTCCTCTGGAAGAGCCGCCAGGGCTCTTAACCTCTGATCTATCTCTCTAGCCCCCTGTGCACTTGTTTCTTAGGTTGAACACTATGTATACTTACTTAGTTTTCAGTCAGCTGATATTTTCTTTCTTTTTTTTTTTTTTTTTTTGGTTTTTCGAGACAGGGTTGCTCTGTGGCTTTGGAGGCTGTCCTGGAACTCGCTCTGTAGACCAGGCTGGCCTCAAACTCACAGAGATCCACCTGCCTCTGCCTCCCGAGTGCTGGGATTAAAGGCGTGCGCCACCAACACCCAGCTCAGCTGATATTTTCATAAGTAATAGTGCTGACTTTGCATGATGCTGGTAGAGTTAAAAGGGGTTAAAAAACATTGAGGATGTTGTAATGGCAATTACCCCATTTCTGCACTGTTAGTTCTTTCTATGTACCTGATAAATGGATATGTACCTGATAGATGGATAGTTGTTGAAAAAGCGGTGTGATTTAGTTTTTGAATAGACTAAGAAAACTGAGTTTCCTTAACTATAACACAGATTCAATGCTGGTTTCTGTTGTGGGGATGGCACTGTACACCGGCTATGTCTTCATGCCTCAGCACATCATGGCCATACTGCATTACTTTGAGATTGTACAGTGACGAAGATGTGACCAGGATCCAGAGGTTCCTGGGGGAAGATCCACCTTATGTATGAAGTTGGAATAAGACCTCATCAGACTAAGATGCTCTACGGATGTCAACATAACCAACCTTATAAATAACAAAGACTAAAATTCATGAGTAGAACAGGAAAACCATCCTGACTCATGTGTTGTGTTCTTTCTTTTTGATTTTAAAAGAGGCTCTTATATAGTAGTTTTTGTCTATTTTAACATTGTACTCATTTGTACTTTGATATCAGTATTTTCTTAACCTTTGTGACTGTTTCAATATTATCCAGTGAAAGCTTTTCTTAATGTAACTTTGAGTACATCTTAATTGCCTTCTATTTTTAAAACCCAAGGTCATTAGTTGGGCTTTACTGTTCTTGCTATTGAATGGCATATACATCTGCCTGGATATATTTCTACTCTTGACCAAAGTTTTGTAAGACACAATACAGAATTTGGGGATGGGAGGGAGGATACTTGGAGAACTAATTACAAAAGATTTATCTGCAAGCTCCAACTCAGGAGTATGGTTTTAGCTCTCTTGACTCTTTAACAGCTTTTTGCTCTAAAACTATTAAAATGTTTCTTAGTAATGAAAAAGTAACGATCTTGCTAAAATTACTACAAAGAAAGCTTCACCTTTTAGATAATCTAATTCTTACATGGACTTATTTCCGAGCAGCTTTGAGATTCTCGTGAGGGTGGGTGGGTGGTCAGTAGTGGTATTGTGTAAAGCTTAGATACACTGTAGCGGCATTGTGTAATGCTTAGATACACTGTAGCAGCATTGTGTAATGCTTAGATACACTGTAGCGCTTTTCACAGACAGCAGAGCAGTTCCTTTTGAGGCAATAGTGACAGTGTATTTGCTGTAATTTGCTCATTGTGACAGGTGCTGTGAAATGTACTTGCACATTGTGATCAGATGTGATGAATTGTTCAGAACCACAGCCAAAAGAAATGTAAACTTGGTTAAAAATCCTTTCACTCTTTGTATTTTTTTTAAAAGGTTTTTATTCCTTAGATGTAAAATGACTACTGTTTTTTTGATGTAAACTCATTAAATTCAAAGAGAAAAGCAATGTAGCAGTGTATCTTTTTATTGTTAAATATTGATCTAGTAGTTATCTTGTGGGTTGATTGCTAAAGGACTAGGTAAACAGTGACTATATCTATCTGAACATAAAAGTTTCAGTAATTAGAAAATGCACTATGTATTTTAAGGTGTTTTTAGCATAAGTTTATATATATGCATATATGTATGTATGTATATTATATATGTTCATTGGTGTTGCCTACATGTATGTCTGTGTAAGGAGGTGTTGAATCCTCTGGAATTGGAGTTAATAGACAGTTATGAACTGCCATGTGGGTGCTGAGAATTGAACCTAGGTCCTCTGGAAGAACAGCCAGTGCTCTTAATTACTGAGTCATCTCTCCAGCCCCAGTTTTGCTTTTTGTTTCTTTTTTTCGAGACAGGGCTTCTTTGTGAAACAGTCCTAGAACTCACTCTGTAGACCAGGCTGGCCTCAAATTTGCAGAGATCCACCTGCCTCTGCACCCTACCCCCTAGTGCTGGGTGGGATTAAAGGTGTCTGCCACTACCACCCAGCAGTTTGGTTATTTTTTTTTTTTAATATTTTTTGGCTCTGAATTTGAGGATAAGTTTTTTTTTAAGTTTTTTTAATCCCAAAGTTTCAAATAATATACAAACTTTCAGTATTTATCATCACAGTTAGCTTGCGATGTTAAGACTATGTAAGACATAGTTAAAACTATGTTTGGTTTGAAATAGTTAAAAGTTGGGTGTTGTATGTGAGCTGTACTCAGACTAAGAAATGAATAAGAGCATTTAACTTAGGATTTGTTCACTCAATGCCCACTTTTGCCCATTAAGAACTGCTGACAAGTGCATGTCTCATGTTCTAATGCCCCCCTAGGGAGCTGAGGATAGGTGAGAATCATTGGTTCTTAGATGGTACCCAGATTGCTTACAGGCCCACTCACCTCCTCAGCATCATTAATTATCCTCATTCTTTGCTGGAATGTAGCACATTGCCTTTTGTAGCTGATGACTGGCACAAGCACTGGCCTCATGCAAGATATGTTTACCCTCATAGAAAAATCAAGATGAGCTATAAGGAGAAAGGAGTTGTATGTATTGAGAATTGCTCAGGGAAATACTTTCTCACCAACTGGTCCAAGTGTCTGGTCTGTCGGTCAGTAACTAACAAGTAGGGAGGTAATTTCCTCTTTCTTTGCTTAAAGATTCATCAGACAGTTCTGCTTGCCTTTCTGTCTAACTCAAAGGGAGAGGTGCTGACTGCCTCCAGACTATAATGTCTTCAGAGATTATAGGTAAGATGGAGGAGCAGGCAGTGTCTCCCACCAGAGCAAAGGGCAGCTTTGCTCAGAGCTTTGGAGAATAAAAGATACCTGCTTTGGAGCAAAGGCCCGTGTGAATTACATAGGAGGGGAGCCCTGAGGTGCACGTCACTTACTGTAGTAAAGATACCATCTGGCTGTTTGCACGCTCTGGTGGGAACTGGGGCTTGGGAACCAGAACAAGAAAATCTGAATACTTTGGAAACAGCTATAACAAAGTAATTTGTCTCCAACTCCAGGACCTTGAGTTTTCTGCCAGCATCAGGCTAATGGATTAGTTTGTAGATAGAGTAAAATCTCAGCTGCTTGCAGCTATTCTTTGAGATTAAGTCTTTCATTGTTCTAGCTCACTTGCCTGGCAAAAAGAGGTATCTTCTGTCTGGAGGCTTTGGAGACACTCCTTGTCCCTTCTGAAATACTACTCTATTCTAGGCTGATCTATGGAGACCTTGTGACTCTGACATGATATCATCGCTTTGGGATGTGTCACCTGGACTTAAAGACTAGGTAGGAAGCATGAAACACATCGATGTCAAATGGGAGTGTCCTGTTCAAAAATGCCACTGACTTGGCTCCATCAGCATCTCCGTTTTGCAAGGAGCCATGACTGTTGCCCTTCACCTTCAGAGATTGCGTCATGCCTGGGCCAGGGTCACTGCTTGTCTGGAAGCTTAACCCTGATGCTATCTCTTGAGCTGTGGCCTGTATTCAGCCTCGGTCTCAGCTCTACAGAACCAAATGTGGAGAAAGTTCCTTCGAGCTATCTGTGTAGAACTCAGGGCTCTTGCTATAGTCCCTGGCAGATTGTCCCTTTCCTAAAGCTTGTTAGGTTTTTACGCATTTCTGGGCTTGATCCAAAGCCCTAAAAGTGTAGTTTTTAGGTTTTTTTTTTTAATTTTATTTTATGTGCACATTTGTCTGTGTAAGGGTGTTGGATCCTCTGGAACCGACAAGCAGTTGTGAGCTGCTGTGTGGGTTCGGGAAATTGAACCCAGGTACTCTGAAAGAACAGTCAGTGCTCTTAACCACTGAGCTATCTCTCTAGGCCCTAAAATATATTTAAAAAAGGGAATTCTGTTCTATAAAAAGTTTAGGTTTTTTTATTAGAGAAAAAATTACAGACTAGCATGTGGATGGAGGTTTCTGTCCCGCCTGGTCCTGCAAATGTTTAGTCCCAAATAAACACTTAGTGACTTATAAACTGTTGGTCAATAGCTCAGGCTTCTTATTGGCTAGCTCTCTTTTAATTATTAACCCATTTCTTTTTTCTGTTTCTTCTTTTTTTTTTTTTTTTTTTTTGGTGTTTTTCGAGACAGGGTTTCTCTGTATTGTTTTAGACGCTGTCCTGGAACTTGCTCTGTAGACCAGGCTGGCCTCGAACTCACAGAGATCCGCCTGCCTCTGCCTTCTAAGTGCTGGGATTAAAGGCATGCGCCACCAACGCCCGGCTCAACCTATTTCTATTAACCTGTGTATGTCCATGTGGTCTTGGCTTATGGTGATGCCTGAGCCTCTTGCTTTTTCTTCAGCTACATGGTGTCTCCTCCCAATTCACTCTCTGTGTTCCTCTTCCCAGCATTCTCCTAATCTGGTAGCCTGGCCTGGCTACATCCTGCCTGTCCATTGGCCGAAATAGCTTTATCCATCAACCAATAAGAGAAACATATTCACAGCATACAGAAGGACATCCCTCATCACTGGTAGGTTGGTGACACTCCTGGTTGGAGGCCACAAAATGTCATAGCAAAGCTCATTAAACCAGGTGGGTTGTTCCTGTAGATATCCAGGAGGGCAAGCCTTTTGGTGTCACACTGCCAATCAAGACACCACTCAGACTGCCATCAGCATTGCTCAGGTGCATTGTTCTGGCAACAGCCACCACCGTAGATGTGTTAGAAAGGACACTGTTTGTGGTGCAATGGTGACTACCGGGCAGACCTGGGAACATGTCAGTGAAGAGGTCTTGATAATTATATAGGTTTTATTTTATTTTTGCCACAAGGGGCACTCAATAGAGTGGGCATCCCAGTACTCAGTGGGAAGTTCACATTCCGCTGCCAGTCAGAAGCATCTGATGTAAGTGATCATTGGAATGGGCTCTTTAAAAGTCAGTTCAAGCTGGGGTTGTGGTGCATGCCTGTAATCCCTGCACTTGGAGGATGGAGGCAGGGTTTCTTTGTGACTTTGGGTTTCTCTGTGTAACAGTCCTGGCTGACCTTGAACTCACTGAGATCCGCCTGCCTCTGCCTCTGCCTCCCAAATGCTGGGATTAAAGGAGTGCACGACCACCACCTGGAATAAAATGAATTTTCTAAATACAAAAAGAATCAGGTGCAGAAAGGATAACTTTTTTTAAATTTTCAAACATGTATATAATATAATAGATTGGTCAGAGAAACCCTGTCTTGAAAAACCATAAGATATTTTCATTTTATTATTGCATTTTTAAGGCTGGATCATGGCAATTAATTATCTTTGGCCACAGGCTTCTTTCCCAACCTCACCATTTCTTTCTTTTCCCTTTTGTTTTTCTTTTTCGAGGCAGGGTTTCTTTGTGACTTTGGAGACTGTCCTGGAACTCACTCTAGACCAGGATGGCCTTGAACTCACAGAGATCTGCCTGCCTCTTCCTCCCCAGTGCTGGGATTAAAGGTATGCGCCATCAATACTCGGTTCTTTTCCCTTTTTCTTCTTTTTTTTTTTATTATTTAAGACAATTTTAAATTTAAATATATATTGGTCATATTTCCTTTCCCCAAGCCTTTCCAAATTCTCTCCCCTTCCCTATCCACCCAGTTTTAATTTCTTTCTCAAAAAAAAAGGGGGGGGCGGGCATTGGTGGCGTACGCCTTTAATCCCAGCACTCGGGAGGCAGAGGCAGCGGATCTCTGTGAGTTCGAGACCAGCCTGGACTACCAAGCGAGTTCCAGGACAGCCTCCAAAACTATACAGAGAAACCCTGTCTCGAAAAACCAAAAAAAAAAAAAAAAAAAAACCCACAATACAAAACAAAACAAACAACAACAACAAACCCCAAACCCAATACAACAACAGAGCTCCCTTAAATCAAGAAAACAAGACCCAACGCAATGGAAACCAAGTGAAAGAACAAAAGAACTGTTGGGTCACTATGTGTTGGTCAACTACTTCCGAACGTGAGCCCCGCCCTGGAGCAATTGACCTGCCCAGTGTCACTTCATTGGAGAAAGCTGACTTGTTAACCTCTACTCCAGTGACTGGGTTCTCATTCGTTTTTTAAAACATAACGATAAGATGCAATCAGATAAAACAAAACCCAGCGTGCTGAAATTAGACAGGACAAGCCAAACAGAAGGAAAAGAGCCCAAGAGAAGGCACACAAATCAGAGACCCACTCGGCCTCACGCTCAGGAATCGCGTCAAAAGCTCTACACCGAAGCCACCCCTAATTTCTGCAGGCCCTGTGCATGCTGCTTCAGTCTCTGAGTTCACACCGGCTTTGACTTGTTGATGCAGAGGGGCCTTGCTTCCTTGGGGCTCTCCATCCCCTCTGGCTCCTACACTCTTTCAGCCTCCTCTTCTGCAGGGTCCCTCCGGCTCTGAGGGGAGGGGTTTCATGGAGACCTCCCATTAAGAGCTCAGTGTTCCAGGGTCTCTTTCTCTCTCCACAATGTCTGGCTGTGGGTCTCTGTATTTGTTTCTATCTGTTGCAGGAGGA